GAGAACGTGGCAGCCGCGCCGCCGGGACGGCGAGGGCCCGCCCCGCCCGCGGTTGCATCAGAAGGGAGCTGGTAGAGTGTACGAAAGAAGAGTTTGTCCACCGTGGCCTTTTAGTGGCAGTCGTTCCTCCCCACCCTGCCGGTGTCTCTCTTTTCCCCCCATTCCCGAAGGGGAGGGCTTCCGACGCTTCTAAGGTCTCCAGGAGGATCATAATGGAGAAAAGATGAAGGGGGCGGGCAGAAGAGGCTCGCTTCCTGGCCCGTGGCCCGGGACTGGGGCTGAGGTGTGCTTGCCTTTTCCCTAATCACCCTGAAAATCCGATACAGGGATATAAAAATCCTGCTGTTCAGACGGGAAGGGCGGTGGGAGTGGAAACTGGTCCCCTAGTTTGTGTCTCCAGCGGATGTCTGCAGAGCACCCAGTCCTTTGGCAGCTGAGGGCAAAAAGTTGGAGGGTGGTGTGGCCGGTTGTAAATTTTCACTGTTGAAAGCAGTTGAGTCAGGAGGCAGGCCCGGGAAACAAAACTTTGGGACATCTCAACGCACCCTCTCAGTTTCCCTGGGGAGACACTGGGGGATTGTGCAAAGGTATCTGGAATCTGCAGCCAGCCCGATGGAAGAGGAAATGGGGAGGGTCCCAGTAGCCCTGCCTACTGGGCACCAGGCCTCCTGGAACCTGGTGCCTGGGGGTGGAGACCTTCAGGTCCTGCTAAATGAAAAAGAACACAGCCATCCCTGTGCTGATGGGGGCCACCAAAGGCCAATGGAACTGGTTAGGATTTGAGGCCAAATTATACCTATTGTGTAGGTGCACCATCTGCTTGCTTTGATAAAAAGATCTTTGAATTTCAAAGTCACCTTCAAACAATCACCTTTTATTTTGCAGAGATGTACTTTCTCTTCTTGTTTGGGAGCTAACAGTGGTGGCCATTGAATAGTTTAGTCCATTGTAATGCTTTGAGGCACTTGAAAACGGATTTATTCTGGGGCCCTGAGTGGCTCCCATTTGCATCACTGTCAAAGGGGGCAAGGGTTAGGGTTTGGAGTGGAAGGAACTCCGTAGTTTGCAGTCCTACAGTTTCCAGTTTAATGCCTTCGGTATGAGGAGTGGGCCTGGTGGTGAAAGCAAGGGCTGATGGAGTTGGCCTGCACTTGATCCTTGTATGAACACCTTAACTTCATTTGTTTATTCATGCAACAGACATTTGAATGGCCACTGTGTGCCAGCTACCATGTTAGATACCTGGCAGGTGCAGAGAGAAAACCTTTGTACGCTGTAGGCCTCAAACTACTTAGAATCAAATGAGACACAAGCAGATAAGAGTATAATTTGTGTCATGGCTCGTAAAAACTACAGGGAGTGCCTCCAGGAGAAGGAGCCCCTAGGGGTTCACGTTGGAGAGAGAGGCTTGGGGGTTTAGAGATGATCACAGTTCGTGGGATGACTCAGAGGTTGCCTAGCATACCAGAAGGGAAAAGCATTTTTGAAGAGAGAGCAGCTGCTTCTAAAGGTTTTGAAACCTCTTCTGGAGGAGGAGAGGTATTGGGACAATAAAAGGACAGGGCAGAAGTGGGAGGTGAGAGTGGAGGGGAAACCAAGAGAGGTGGAGATTAGATGTTATCCTGTATGTGGCTGAAATGTCATCACCCCATTTCTTGTTAGGCAAGTCAGACTGGCAGTAGGGAGGGGAACATAACAGGCACGATGGGGCAACTGGTGAAGGATTGTGGCCATGAGCACCTGAGCCAGGCACTCCCGTCCAGGGGGCAGGAGGGGGTGAACCCAGAGCATGTGGGAGGGAGAACTGGCTGTGTTCGCTCTTGATTCACCGTGGGAGTGGAGAGAGAGGAGCAGGGACTCACAGATGACATCTGGGTCTCTGGCCTGAGCCACTGGATGGGTAATGGATGCACCACTCACTTGTAAAGTAAATCCAGGCCAGCGGCAAGGGAGAGTGGAGGATTGGAAATGATGGGTGTGGTAGGAGATGGCTGAGCAGGAAAAGCCACCTCTCTGTCCACTGTTCCTGGTGCAACAGTCCCCTCCAAGTCTGGGCTGCTGAGGGAGGAGCATGGCTGGATCTGGGCAACTCTGCCACCACCACCTGACCTGAGCCTGAAAACATGACAGCTCTAAGGTCCCTGGAGACACCTAGGCCAGAGGGCTGCAAAGTGGAGACCTGTAGGCTGCGTGCAGCAACAAACTTAGAAAAAATGGAAATTAATTGTCAACATTTAAAATCTGAGTGATTTCACATATAGACCTTGGTCTCTGGTTTCCCTTGACACCCATGGACCATTATTCCCATGTGCTAGTCATTGTCTGGAGCAGCTGGGGCACCTTTGTTGGCAGCTGGCAGGGGAGCTGGCAGGTTGCTTGGGGTTTGTCCATCCATTTGTTACCTGCCAGGTGTTTGCTGAGTTTTCCATCTACCTGTTCATTGTCTTTAGTGAGGAAAGGCACCCTTTCTCTCCTTTATTCCTCACAACATTCCTTGTAAAGTAGGTGTTCCGATTTGCAGTTGGAAAAACAAACTCAGAGAGTCAAGATATTTGCCTGCTATCATGCAGAAGTAGGATTCACATGTTCTGACCAGAGGGGATCGGCTTTATCTACATCATAGCTGCCTTTTCCAGAATCTACTGAGATTTTTTAAGAAAAAGATTAAGATCATATTTATTCTTCCAACAAATACTCATTAAGTCTTACTATGCATCAGGCTATGTCCTCGACATTTATTTGGCATAGATTAGATGCTGTCTTTTTCACAAAAACAGATTACTTATAATCTGACATTAGTTTCTGCTAGTCTCAGGTTCTGTTCCTCAGCCGGCTTTGGATAACTGATGGGCATGTCACCTCTGTTTCCCCAGGGTTGGAGCAGTGCCTGGCACATAGTAGGTAGGCTGAACACTGCAGTGTTGAGAGTATTCTGCTGTGTCTGGCAGTGGTCTCCTGGAAGGAAGCCTGAAGATACCTGGCACTTTTTCCATGTGGAAATGTTACAATTGCAAATGAAAGGACACATTAAAGCTGTTAGTAATATTTACACCTTCCTGAGACAAAGGAGCTGGGCTACCAAGGTATCTAGGTGGGAAATGAATTCATTTCCCATATCTAATTAATCAAAGAAAAACTGCCAATCAGAACTTCGACACACAAAGAAAATACCACTGAGTTGAGAGAATTCCAGCCCAAAGCAAAGAAACAAATCCTTAATCGGCCTGCATGACCTCATCCCAATAAATGAAATACCAAGGTGTATAAAAAGTTTCCCAGGGTGTGAAACTTTTTTAAACATTGGAAATAGCTTGTGAGTATCTTTGAATTTTCCTACAGGGATGGAGTCTCCAGCTTGGACCCTTTGGCTTAGAGATGGACACTGGTGAATTCCCAGCCTGAACTTTGCTCTGGACTAGTGTTTGGGGTACCTCAGTGAAGTCTAGTGGGAAATGGCTAGAACCTGGGCCAGCTGTGGAACAGATACACCAGTGGACATAGGGGTCTTGAGTCTAAGAGCAGGAGGTCCAGGCTCCTGCAGCTGCTCAGCTGGCCGAGTTTCTTGAAAGATTTCATTGATGTTTCATCCCCAGCGTTTAATGTTTTGTCCAACAAGATCTGGTTCCCTGCTTGCAGTGTCAAGTCTTTGAGTCCAAAGTAGTGAGTTTAAAAAAAAAAGAACTCACTTGTCTTTTTGTTTACATAGAATTCTCCATTGTTTAAACTGGACCTAGAGCCAGTTCTTAACCCAGTTGTACCAGTACTAGCTGTGTGATCTTGGAAAAGTAATTCAAGTTCTCTCTGCCTCAGTTTCCATTACTCTAAGGACTACATCAGGGAAGACGGCTAGGTTTCACCTTACAAATCAACACTAGTCAATTGGTCATGTCTGTCTGCGGAGCACTGTGTTGAGAAGGATTCTGAGGCCACATCTAGGTTTATAAGGACAGAGGCACGACCCACTGGTAGTATCTGCCATTGGCACTGGGTGAGGGGAAAGGCATAGCACCTTCAGAATAGATAAACTTGAAGATCCTTTCCAGCACTGTTGGGTCATTGAGTTAGTGTTTATGCATTTTAGACTCTGCAGGTGTTTGATCTTTCTCTGGACCAGGATCACACAGGCCTTGATAATAGCCTTGTGGGTGTGTGGTTTTCTCTTAACTACAGGAAGATTGTCGATCGAATTGACAGCGATGGGGATGGCTTTATCACCACTGAGGAGCTGAAAACCTGGATCAAACGGGTGCAGAAAAGATACATCTATGATAATGTTGCTAAAGTCTGGAAGGATTATGATCGGGACAAAGATGATAAAATTTCCTGGGAAGAATACAAACAAGCCACCTATGGTTACTACCTAGGTAAGAGGTGCTGCAGGAGAGATTACACAGCTGGGGCCCACATAATAAGCTTCTTGCGGGAGTCTCCACTCCCTCATCATATCCACCCCCTTCAGGGGGATGTCACAACGTCCTAAGGAGAACCTGCTTGTGTAGCGTGTGCTCTGCTTACTAAGAATGTACTGCGTTGCTTACTCTGAACGAAGTTGTAGGTGGTGATTAGTGGCAGGGGTCAAGGGTCTAATGAAAAGTGACTTAGGTTGCTGCCTTCTCTGAGCTCCGATCTCAGGGGTACACTCAGAACAAAGCAGAGAGGAAGCACGTCTGTGGCTGTTTCACAGTGCTGCCAGGTTCAGATACCAAAGACGAGTGGGCTGGAGCAGTCAAGGAAGGCTTCTGGTAGAGTGGCTTGGGAGCTGGGCCTTGAAGAATGGATTTATGTTTCGAAAGAGAGACGAGTGGGGGAGGTGGGTCAGCTGGAAAGGCAAAACTGCAGTGATGCATTTAGCAATGGGCAGGGTTTGGATATAAGACAAACCTGTCTGGGGTATGATGGAAGGGTGTGTGCAAAGCACAGGGTGCAGACCTACTGGGTGCATGATAGAGACAGCGAGGGGACAGGTCTGAGAAGAACTGGAGATGCACACACGGACAGATTAAGGGAGATCTTGAAAGCCAGGCAGAAACATTTAGGCAAAATATGGGTACTGAGGAACCTCTGCATGTTCTGGAGCAAAGAGTGATGATGAAAGCAGGGTTCGGCAAAGAGAGGTGTGGTTTAGTATGGCCTAAGGCCTGTGCTCTTAGGCACTGCTGTAGTGCCCCTGATATGCCATGAGGGCCAGTATTATGGGGCGCTTTGAAGGGGCAGGTATTAGGGGCATTCTGAAGTAAACTGTTTCAGAGAACTGATAGGTCAGGACCTTTAGTGCCCTGTGTGCTGTTGGAGCATAAGGATGAGTGATCTGGAAGGAAATGCCTTCCTTGGCCGCCCAGCTGAAACGTTTGTTTGCACGTCCTGCAGGAAACCCCACAGAGTTTCAGGATTCTTCAGATCACCACACCTTTAAAAAGATGCTGCCCCGTGACGAGAGACGGTTCAAAGCTGCAGACCTCAATGGTGACGGGACGGCCACTCGGGAGGAGTTTACCGCCTTTCTGCACCCTGAGGAGTTTGAGTATATGAAAGAAATTGTGGTTTTGGTAAGATAAAAGAAGTTCCTGGGCTGGGAAAAGACTAGACCAAAGGTACACCCAAAGCTTGTCTTTTCTTTCAAAGAGAGAACCTTCATCCTGAGGGGAATTGGAGACGGACTCTGAAGTGGAGAGCATTGGAATACCTGTCTACCCAGTAAATGAGTCAGGGCAGGCTAGGTGCGGTAACAAATAGCCCCCAATCTTAGCCATTTATCACAATCAAAGCTTATTTCTTGCGTATGCCACTTCCAGCGCAGGTGGTCCCAGTCAGGTGGGTCTTCTGTGCAGCTCTCTAAGACCTATCGGGCAGTCGGGCTGCCTCTGTCTGTTGTCCACGTCCTGTGGCCTCAAGGTCATCCTGCTAACGGCCAGCTGGTAGACAAGAGAGGCAGTGAGGAGAAGGCGGTCTGCCTTTACTGCTCTGACCAGAAATGACATAGCTCTTCCTTTTACATTCCCCTGGCTCCTCCTAGATATGATGGGGCTGGGACATATCGTTTAGATCTGTATACTCAGAAAAAGCAAATGGGTTTGATAAAGAAACTAGCCAGGCTCTGTCTATGTCTCAGCTTTGAGGGAGCTAGAAAAAGACTGAAATGGAACGCATTGGATTGTTAAACGGTATAGAAACTTAAAGTAAAAACCATGGCCTGCGAGGGGGTAGGGGTGGGGTTCGGAGGTTGATAGATCAGATCCTATAGGCTCTGAGGGTCAGCTGTGCTCGTAAGGCCTCTGCGTGTAGTGACTTTCCATTGTGTCTTGTGGGGACCCAAAAGTCTTAATTTTCCATGACAATAAAATTACGCCGTCACCTGCTTCCTGGTCCGATAACCCTGAGCCAGTTCCAGCGGAAACAAGTGGCTGAAGCTTTTGTTTATAACCAGCTCAGGGCTATTTTAGTTATCCAGTTGGTGGCTGGGCCCCTTCTTGCCTCCGGCTTCATCCTCATGACCACCATGGCCCGAAGGACTGGGCAGGAGCTCTGTAAGAGTCAATTCTTGTTACTGCCCAACATCCACTTAATGGTCACTGATTTGCCAGAGGACCATGAAGATCAGGAATTAGCCACAAATGGATTATGTGCCTTTGAGGTGCTTAGACAATGGACAGTAAACTCATTTAAGTACTTACCACGGCAAATGCCTAATACAGAACATAATACATTCAAAAGTCAGATAGACTTTTATTTTTTAATTGTCCTGTTTCATATTTTCCTGACACCAACTCTGTGTTCATTGTCCAGTTAGCATTGGAATTTATCTCTGACCATCTGGTCCAGTGGTTCTCAAGCTGGTCCTCCCAGGTACCCCAGGGAATGGTTTGGCTGGATGGTGGAAATGGTTGGCCTGGCAGGGCTTCCTGATAAAATCAGAGCATCTCCAGGCTTCCACGTACATTTTCATTTGAAGAGAGGGTTCTGCTATTAAAATTGTGGGATGGCAGAGGAAGGACAGAAACCACTGCCTGTTTTTTTACAGATAAGTAATTGGTGCCGGGGGAGGTAAGGAGACAAGCCCAAAGTCTCCAGGCGTTCAGCCATAAAAGCCAGACGGGGGAGGACAGTAGTCAGAACTCAAGATTTACTGACAGCTCTAAGCCGTCCTGCATTCTGTTTGCTTCCTAGGAAACTCTGGAGGACATCGACAAGAATGGGGATGGGTTTGTGGACCAGGATGAGTATATTGGTGAGTGCAGCCTGAGTCCTCAGCTGTCCCAGCTGGGCAAGGTTTCTCCACCCACATGTCTGGCTACTTTCTCCAGATGTCTCTTTTGCCACCCGTCTTTGGTCATGTGACTTTGCTACCCTTTACCCAAAAACAAGTTCCTTCAGTAATGAAGGGCAGAACTGCTTCTAGTCATTAGGAACTATATCTGATCCGAGGAACCTAATGAACGCTGTGGTGTAACAGACAGGCCACTCTCGCCACAGCTGTTAAAGTGATCTCGGTGGCACTAACTTTGCAGAACAGCAGATGCTGACGGCCCCCGGCCCCCTCGTCAGTGGAAGCAGCAGCAGAGCTTTCCTCTTGCCTGGTGCACGCCCGAGGGGGGAAGGTTCAGAGACATAGATGCCTGGACAGTGGGGATGGAATTAGACTGACAGAAAAGGCTGGCTGATTAAAACAACGCAGCACTTTGATTAAGGATGTGTGCTCTTCCTGGCTCTCTTGAACTCTGCATTGAAATAATGCAAAGTCAGGGGCAAAACTCATTGAGTGGCTGGGCGTAAAAGCAGCATTCCATTCTTTACGTGGAGCAGAGAGGGAGATGGGGGCATTGTGCCTAAAAATCAAGTTCTGAGCAGTTTGCAGTCCAAGAGGCCTGTTGCGTGGACTTGTCCAGCAAGTGACTTCTCTTCAGGAGGGAGTGAGTGCAGAACCAGTGGTGATGTGTAGTGGGCAGAGCAAGTGGAATCAGGAGTCCTGGCTTCTCCACTTACTAGCTCTGTGACCCCAGGGGTGGCATGCAATCACTGTAAGCCTTGGTTTCCTCATCTGTAAAATGGGAATACACAGCACCCATGCTTCCAGGACTAGATGGAGCTCAAATTAACTAATATATGTGACAGCCCTTTCTCAGAAACACTATGCAGATGTCAGGTGTGGGTCTACCTTGTAGCTGAACCAAGGGTCTTGCCTTTCTTTTGCCTTCACCACCTGCTCCCTGTACCACCTGACATTTCCAAGCTTTGTTTCCATTAAAGAGAAACTGCCTACAGGGTCTCTCTCTTCCAAGAAAACCTAGTGATTTAGCAAACATTGCATACACTTTGCCTTCTTTCTCCTTTCCCTGCCATTTTGTAAAACAGGAATAATGATCTATCTTATAGAATTGTTATGAAATAAAATGATAAATGTGAAAGCCCTTTGGAAATGATACAACCAACAACAGGAATGAACACGGTGGGTTAGACCATGGGTTGGAAGCAGAATGCCCATGTTCTTATGCAGCCTCAAGCTCCTACTAGTTGTGGCCTCAGTGTTTTCATCTATAAAATGGGAATTATAGCCCTGGCTGTTTTTGCTCAGTGGTTAGAGCATTGGCCCAAGGACTGATGAGTCCCGGGTTCAATTCCAGCCAAGGGCACTTACCTCAGTTGCAGGCTCAATCCCTGGCCAAGGTCTGGGCATGTGCAGAAGGCAACCAATCAATGTGTCTCTCTCACATCAATGTTTCTCTCTCTCCTTTCCACTCTCTGAAAAGCAAAGGAAAAAATAGCCTCATGTGAGGATTAAAAAAAAATTAAAAATGGGAATTATAATAAGATCTACTTCATAGGGTTGTTATGGGGGAAAAAATGTATGTGAAGCACCTTATACAGTATCTAGACCATAGAAAGTGCTCGAGTGCTCAGAAGTGGTGCCTATTATTAGTTTTTACCTGTATAATGCTAGTTTGGACTATAGAGGGCTTTCACAGTAAGTGTCCCACTTGACCTTCATAATAGCCCTGTGATTTGTAAATTATTATCTCCGTTTTACAGACAAGGCAACTTAAGACTCGGCCATTGAATTAAGTAACTTAATCCTAGTCACTGAACTGAGTCATCTTTCATCTTCTGGCTCCTGAGCTCAGTCCTTTCTATTCCACCAAGCTACCTCCGCAGCGGATAAATCGCTGCATTACTATTCACAGGAAACTGCCCACCAGGTGTTTGGGTTAGGTCTCTGTCGGCCATCCCCCTTCCAAAAACGCAGGAGGTCGGCTTTTCTTCGATGTACCTACCTTCCACCCGTCTTCGTAACCAGGATCAACCTTCCTTTCCAGCGGATATGTTTTCCCACGAGGAGAGTGGCCCTGAGCCAGACTGGGTCTTGTCAGAACGGGAGCAGTTTAATGAATTCCGGGACCTGAACAAGGACGGGAAGTTGGACAAAGATGAGATTCGCCACTGGATCCTCCCCCAGGACTATGACCACGCGCAGGCTGAGGCCAGACACCTGGTGTATGAGTCGGACGTAAACAGGGTATTGCATGTTCTTCTGGCATCAATCCTTGGACGGAGACGGTTTACATAAGATAGGTTCTGTTTGTGGTCCTGTTTGCCTCTTTGTGATAGCATTGGCCTGTGACGCTGTGCCTTATTGACCTTTCTCATTCTTGGCATACGTTAGAGACCTGTAAACTTGACCAGTTACTATGATAACCCACGGTGAGTTCCTGGATAGTTCCTGGATAGTCTGCTATGGGCCACAGGTTTACATTCACTCCCATTTCGTAGGATTGCTGAACTTTGTTTGCTGTGGGCAGGACATGGATTTAAGAGGTACGCCCTGTGTTGTCTTAGGACAGCTTTGTTCATCCATTCATTCAGTGAGCAGATACTTATCCAATGTCCGTGCTGTGTCAGGCACAAGGAAGTGCAGCCCATTAAAGCCCAGGCATCTTCAGGCAAGCTCACACTTCTAGCTCTATGCTCAGCACTTCAGTATCTAATTGATATGTATCCAGATAAATAAGCAAGATTTAGAAAGAAGTCCTGCCCTTTCCCACCTTGATCACTGCTCCAAGCTCTTGGGACACAGTTGATTTTTGTAGTCAGGCTGTGAAAAGGGAATGGAGATCGTCAGGGCCTGCTTTGGGAATGTCAGCACTGCTTGTAGACACGGCTGGATTTGAGCTTCTGAATTCCTCGGGGACTTAACGGATATATTTTAGCACAGCTCTTACAGCAGCAGGCGGTTCCAGGTTGAGGTTTTGCAGTGCGGCAATGGTAGGTGAAAGAGGTACCTAGCAGCTTCTTAATTATTAAGTGTAGGGTTTCAAATGTTGCAAATCAGTGAAGTAACCTAGAGCTTCATGCTATTCAGTTACTAGGAGCTTCGATGACACAGCTCTTTCCTCTCTCCGACAGGATGAAAAGCTAACTAAAGAGGAGATATTGGAGAACTGGAACATGTTTGTTGGAAGCCAAGCTACCAATTATGGAGAAGACCTCACAAAAAATCATGATGAACTTTGATACACACACACCATAACTTGGCAGACTGTCATAGGCTTTCTTTTATTGTCTTGGATGGTTGCTACAGTTGTCTAATTTATAGCAGTCGTGTCCCTGAAACAACAGTTTAAAACCTCAGACTGGGGTTAAAATTGGTTTTCACTCAATATTTACTGGGAAATAGTCATTGCTATACCTTCAAAAAGATACCTCTACAAACACATTAAAACCTTGGTAAATTACAATGCCGTGTGGGGATACATTGCAAAAAACATGACTTTTTAGCTTTTTCCATTAAATTTAAAGAGGAATAAAGTTAGGAAATGCCCTGTTATTCAGAAGTTGGGTGGGTTGGGGCAGCTTATGGAGTGACTGCTATGCATTTTAACTGCAAATTTTTACATTTGCCACAGGGAATAGTTGGTGCGAGAAAACTGATGAAGCTTAGTGGTGTCGTCCCATGTAGGCTTATTTCAGAACCAGCCTAATACTTCAGATACTTTTTGACTTTATACTCTGAGCTGTTACTGTAAATGGTGTATAAAACCTCTGCATTTTTCTGTACGGACCTGATAATGTGCATAACAAATCCACATCTTTGTTTTTTGTTTTTGTTGTTTTTACAATAAGAATCAATCAAGAAAGATATAATGTGAAAAAGAATGGGATTTTAGAGGGAGGGAAAAGCTGAATGTCAGGCATTGGGAGAACTAGAGGAAAGCGGCAAACACATTACTATACTTGAGAAAACTTATCTTGACGCATAAACGAGGTAGGTCTGACGTTTGAAAAAGTGAGTGGAAATAGGATCCATTTCCTCGCTGATCGTCTGGTAGGAATGAGGGCGGGGGTCCCAGGGAAGCCTGCCTGGAGGGGGCTGGAACTGTTGCATCCATTTGGGAGATTCCGTGACCCTCGGACCTGCCTGGGACCACGGATGCCACGGAATTAGGACAAGGTGATGTTCCAAGCCACTGGCCGAACTGGAGGAAACAACTTTTACAGGTTGAAATGCTGCCTTACAAGTAGGAAGTGAGTGAAATAAAGGATCCCTGTGAGGATTTTCTACTGTGTCCTGTGGTGGTTGACTTCACATGTGTGACATTATTCATATAGAATTAAACAGTAGGTTGGGATTACATGAGTCAGATTATAAGGGGCCTGGGGTTTTTAAATCCAGTACTGGGATGTTCAGAATACCCTGGTATTAATGTATACTTCCTCCTTTCTCAGCTAGTTAGGGAATCGAGGCCATTTTAACAGAATGATCCTACTGAGACAGGTTTCAGCTGGAAGAATGTCCAGACTTCTCACCAGACCCTGTGAGGCTACAGGATCTGGTCCCTCACCGGCATCTTCAACTCCCCTATTTGCCTCCAAATAGCCAGCCCCACCGACTAGTCCTTGAACCCACCACGTTCATTCCTAGGTTGGACCTTTGCGCTTGCTGGCCCCTCAGATTCAGAACACCATCCCTCACATCCTCTAGTAACTCTAACAGCACCTCCGTGGAGTCTTCCAGACCCCCATTTATAGTACAGTCACGTGCCACTTAACCGGGGTATGTCCTGAGAGGTGTGTTGCCAAGCAGTCTCGTTGCGCGAGCATCCTAGAGCATTCGCACAAACCTGGACAGCCGAGCCGCCTGCGCTCCTGGGCTGGCTGGTGTACCACAGTCCCGTGTCACTGACCGAGTCATCGATCTGCAGTGCATGACCATTCTGTTTTATTTTCTTGGTACGTATTACCATTGATACCCGTTTCCCAGGGATTCCATACAAGTTACCACAAAGTGAATGGCTACCCAGCAACAAAGAAAGCTCACTCAGTTCTACAGAGAGGCCCTCGGCAAGAAGCCCTCCTTGCTCCAGCTTCTGGTGGCTCCGGGCATTCTTTGTCTGCAGCTCTCCAGTCTCTGCCACCTATAACCCTTTCTTCCTCTCTCTGGGTCTCTGCATCTCTTATAAGGATACTTGTCTTTAGATTGAAGGCCCATATCCTGAGATGCTTTAGTTACAGCTGCAAAGACCATTTTTCCAAGCAAGGTCATATTCACAGGTTCCAGGGTTAGGAGGTAGACAGTGTCTCTGGAGACCACCAACTGTACCATTTGACATTGTCTTGTCTGTACACTGTCCATCTTCCCCAAGCTGGAGTATGAGCCCAGTGAGACCAACAGAGTCTGGTTCGTCGTCTTTACTCCCCTTTCCCAGAATTTAGAACATCAGAGCCCAGCCTACAAGAAGTATGCTAATTATTTGCTGAAGAATGAGAGGTGGTTAGCTTTAACGGAAGGGAATATTCCTCGGGGGAAAAATGTTTGGAAAAAATATAAAAACAGCGAGCATTGCTGAAGGAGAAGGTAAGTAACTTTGCCCAAGATTCCACAGTGATTAAATGGCAGGGACAAAATTCAAAAGCCACGTGTTTCTTGCTCTAAAATCTGCTGTTTAGCACAGGTTTCACTGCTCCAAATCTCCAAATCTGATAAATGTTTTTCTTTATTTCTTTGCTCAGCCACAGTACGATTATGTGGTCAGGAAATGAGAACGGCTCCTCTTACCCAGAAATAGGCTGACAACTTATTTTTTAAAGCAATGAACACCTGTCTTTTAAAAGTTGAGAAAATAATACTGTGTAACCTAATTATAAACATAACACCTAAAAGGTGCTAACATTGTTTTCCCCCCAAAAGGGGATATAGGTTGATTTATTAAGTTACACACAGTAAGATGTTAAATATAGTTTGAGCACTAAGTTTTTCCTTCCAAGTCAGTGCACATAAGAAGAGAACCCTCAATGAGACCAGTGCTTCTGGGGCTGAACTTAACACTATTTAAGGAAAAAAAAACCGTAGCTAGGGGACATAGCTGTTAACATCATGATTTGTAAAGCCTTAGATTTCTAATAGGGTCTGACTGTTTCAAGGAAAACATATTTTGTTTCTAGGTAACATTTCAAGTCTGATTACGAACAAATGCTACAAAATCGATCTGTAATGAGAAGTACTGTAATGTCACAAAACATTAATTATATGCTTAATGGGACTGAAAGCATTAATTGCCAGGAGCCAAAATCTGTCCAAGCAAAACATGAACACATTTTGTACCTCTCGTCTCTTGTAGGTTTTTGAATGAATTCGAGTGGAACAAAAATGTAGTTAGAAAGTCAGCAACACCTGAAGGTTTTCTTCACCTGCTTGGATGTTGTAGTTGTTTCTTGTTAGTGATGGCACGAATCATAAGTGCCCAGCAAACAGCAGACACGTGGCGACTTGTTAGTTCGACTCTAAAACAGCCTGTGGAGGGAAGTAGTGAATGGCTGACTGGGTTATTTTTAAGTCTTTCTAGATTTATTCTGCCACCTTCATAATAAAATCCGGCTTCCTCCAAGTACGTGCACCTAGATTTGGCTCTCTCTGTAGTCTTAAAATTGAGTTTATAGTGCTAGAATTTCCCACTAAAAACCAACGAGTGCCCAAATTTTCACTGCTTTGGCTCACATGGAAGTATTAAAAAACTGAGCAGTGGAAAGATTGTGTCATCAGAACTTAAAGTCATAAGATTTACACGAACTCAGAGATATATTCAGAGTCTATCGCACTCTTAACTCCGGTCAGCTCGGGTCCAGGGCTGGGGACACCACCATTCTGTGAGCTTTAAATGCCTCTAATTTTCCTCATAAAATAGAAAATACCTTCTGATTCCCCACAGAAGCACATGAAGTGAAACAAATGTCAGGATTGGTTACTTTCTTACCTTGAAACTTGTACAGTGGGAGCATTTCTTTTCTCCTGCAATAAATACACATAGCTGTGCACCAGGCGCTACGCCAGGTACTTACAAGTGTTTCAGCATCAAAGATTCTATTGATGTGTCCTTACTTCAAACTTCAATGCATGGTGTTAGTGACTGATGGGGGTTTTCGATTTATCAGAAAATTGGCAAAGGTGTGCTTGTTGTTTTAAATACATAAAAGAAAGGTGGTTTTTTAAAAAGATCACATCATTTAGAAAAGGACTTTATGTGGTTATTAACTATAAGAAGCTGAAGACACTTAATGAGTCATCTCAGACTAGTGATCGCAAACCACAGGAAGCACGGCCCTGCTGCTCAGATGTTGGCGACTAAGATGCATGTAGAGAGCACGCCCAGGTGGACGGTCGAGTCCAAGGGACTCACTAGCTGAATGTCTTTAGGCCAATTTACTTCCACCCCACAAACCTTTTTTCCCTCTGCTGTGAAAGGAGGCCACAGCAGTCCCTGCCTCATTGGCTGGCTGTGTGGGGGCCCCGTGTTGTGGAAAAGCACTTTGCTCTGGGCCTGCTGCAAGGAGAGGCTTCATCCATGGAGCTGGGTGACTCTGGTAACAAGACATGCTAAGGAATTAAAAGCAATCGTTTAGAGAGTAACCTAAACTTTATTCTCTGACAGGCACAATTCCACGTACAGACAGTTCACACGGGCGCCGGCCTCATCAGCCTCAGGAGGCCCCTCCTGAAGTCTTCTGGAAGGGCCGTGGGCTTGCTGGTGGCTGGATTCACGAAAACGTGGACAGAGGACCCGGTGGTGCAGGCCAAAGCGTCAAACTGCGCCAGCTTGGGGTGGCCAAAGAAAAAGCCGTCCGCGAGGTCGTGGTGATCTCCCGGGGGTGGCTCCTGGGTGGGCTTGGGGGGAAACAGGGCAAGGCGATAGTGCACACTGGAGCGGCCCACTTTCTCCACGGCCAGGGCTGCCACGGGGACCTGAGGGAAGCCCACGGGGGCGTGGAAGGTGCAGCGATTGGTCACCATGAAGCCCACCATGGGGGACGTCAGCAAGCCGGTTTTCAGGCCGCAGTACCTAGAAGGTTAAAGCACACTCCTTACTCCGGGGCAGCAGGCCGCTCTCTCCCACCCGGTGACGGTGGGTTTCAGCAGCACTGACTCAGAGGCCTGGAATCGAATCCCAGCCCCGCCACCCACCGGCTGAGGCCCCTTGGGCAAGTCACTCAGCTTCCTTTCGCCTCGATTTCCACAATAATATAATGTTCATAACTGCAGTACCACCTCATAGAGATAGTCATTTAATACCCGAACAGTTCCTCGATGCAGGGAGCTCTCGCGAACACTGACTATTATGATGTCCAGCCTGCCCTTGCTTCTTATGAAAAGCCAGGTACTTTTGTGTTAAATGAGAGAAAAAAAACCCTCATTGATTAGAGATAGTTATTGTCGCTTAATCTTTGCCATGTACTCTTTTTAAGGGCAGGTACTGTGTCTTGTTTATTTTTTAAGTTTGTTAACTAGAAACGAGGTTGCACTTGAGATAAATTTGGAGGTTGAACGGAATAAGAAATGAAAGACATAATACCGAGTCACAGCCTCCCCCCCGCCAAAGAGGCCCGCTTACAATTTAAACATTCTAGTCTCATTGTCTTGTCTTTTTCTGGGGAGAAAACTAAGACCGGATGTGAGAATTCACCGTAAGGGGATAATCATGGTTGTACGCGGGTTTGACGCGGAGTTGTTCCCGGAATCATTGTTCACAGACGGGAACAGAAACAGCTGCAGTGTCTGCTCAGGGAGGGCGCGGTGAGTGCCTGCGCCCAGCCACCCTGGGTGTCCCCTGACATCACCCATCGGGACATCAGATACGTTCACTTACTGACACGGAAAGCTGCTGATTGAAAAAGATCAGGTTTCAGAATGGTAGTGCCATTCGATCTCATTGGTTTTACAAGAACGCGTTTGTTTATGTACTTATTGTCCAGAAAAAGCTTTGAAAGGATAGACGCCACCATGGTTTCCCAGTTATCTAGCAGTGGTATTGGGATAACATTTTTTTTTTTTAATTTTGCTCATAGGAGTTTTCTAAAATGAACACAATTTGCCTATGAAATAAGAAAAACAATGTTATTTTTAAAAAATATCTGAATATGAATTTCATTTTTTAAAAAAGCACTGGAGAGATGAGCAGGCTGGGTAAGCCCAGCTCCTTCCTGTGCCCATTAGGATCCTGCCTCCGGCCGCCCTCCCTGGGGCTCTTCCTCGTGGACATCTGGGGAGGGGAAAGGAAAGTAGGGAAAGAAAATCCTCGCCCTTCAGGGTAGCTCCAAGATCCAGTGTGAAGCAAATTGCCCTTTTCATTTCCCATGCTTCTTTGTTGCTTTGCTTTCCTATTTCTCTGCCACTTTCCCCATTCTTTCAGGAGACGGAGAGAGCAGAATTTCATGAGCTCCTTGTGTCCCAGAGCCCAGCCAGAATACCTTTAAATAATTAAAAGGCAGAGGTACTTCTAAACAATGCCATCGATGAGCACCTGGCGGCCAGCTATGCTGGGTGCATTACATGTTGTATTTAGTTTTCAAAACAACCCTGCAAAGCAGGTCTCATCTTTCCCATTTTCCAGGAGGGAAAATAAGTGGAGAGGCTGCACAAATTTCCCAAAGGCAGGCATACAGAAAGTGGTAGGTCAGGCCCAGACTTTAGGCTCTCTGTAGCCAAAGTTTACATCTTGCCCTCCATTCTGACTTACTAGGTGGCGAAGCCAAAATCTGCATTTTAGTCCAGTGGATGCATTGCATTTTCCTTAAGTGCTTTTGTGACTAAATAAAATTCACATATGGTTTGCCTAGATCTGTCTTTCTGGCCCCTGGTTTATGACCTCTGGGAAAGGTGGCAATTACCCGTGGGAGAGGGAAGGATCACCTAGGAGAGAATATAGAAGCCTTACACATGAAAAACTGGCTTTGAGTAAGCTCCCAATCTATTTCTTAGAATCTGGCATTTGATTCTGACGCCACCTAGTCATCGCGAGGCGAATGCCTACCTCCCATGCTTTCTTATCCCTGATTTAGTAAACTTTAGAATAGAGGGATGTTGGAGTTGGAAGACCCCTTGGGGATCATGCAGTACAGGGCTCTCCATCCAACACTGGTGGGGATCAGAATCTCCTGGGGATCCTGGGAAACCTCCAGACCCCCCATGTCCTCCCAGACCTCCTGAATGAATCTATAAGGAGGGGCACCCTGAGTTCCACAAGCTCCCAAGTGATCCTGAGAAGGGCACCTACCATAAGTGCTGCTCTCCTAGGCCCACCCCCTCGGGTAAAGCAAAGCCCAGAGAAACGAAGTAAGTTGCTCACCTGCACACAGCTGGAAAGGGGCAGAGTCTGTCTACACTCCAGCCCCTGCAGCTGGGCCCATTAACCTCCCCACTCCCAGGTTCAGCGCCAGCCCAGTGTTGGACACCAATAAATCTCTGGGGCGTTCACGGCTTGGATTCAGATCAGATGCTCACGATCCCACCCTGACTCTGCACCCAGCTCCAGCAGTTGGGTTCAGTCTTACTTTGTTACTCCCCTCTCCCACAGTCCTGCCTTCTTTCCTGCCGCTGTAAATAGATTCTGCTTATCCACTGTCCGGCCCTGACCCCGGTCCCGAGGACCTGCCTTGGTGCCTCCCCAGGCTCTGGGTGCCTCTGGAGTGAGAGGTTGTGTGCACCTGCAGGACCCGGTGCCTCTGGGTCTGTGGGAGGACCCAGCCCTGCTGCTCCCTGAGGTCTGGAGACTCCGTCAGATGATAGGAGGGCAGTGGGCATGTGGCACAGTTAGAACTTTCAGAGGACCGAAACTCTTTTTGTTACTTTCTATGAACAGCATAGAATGGNAAGACAGTGGGCATGTGGCACAGATATAACTTTCAGAGGACCGAAACTCTTTTTGTTACTTTCTATGAACAGCATAGAATGGGCCACAGCTTGTGGTTAGTTACCTGGAATGCCAGGGCAGGATTCTGGCAAGAAGTCCATTCCCACACTCCCCGAAACTAAGAATAAGAGTCAGCTCAGCCACATGACCCCACGACCGTGCTGAGTCCTCACAGTGTCACACGGCAGCTGAAGGGAAACTCAAGCCTTGGCAGACTATGTAAGGAGGGCCCTGCCTGCCTGATGTTGGTAGATTATGCAGTTATTAAGAGAGATACATGAGTCAGNGCTGCGTAAGGAGGGCCCTGCCTGCCTGATGTTGGTAGATTATGCGGTTATTAGGAGAGATACATGAGTCAGAAATACAGAACTGGGGAGAAAATACCTTAAGTGTGAGCACGTATGAAGTTAAAAGATTAAAATGATGAAACTAACACTTAGAATGTACTCTGTGTATCTTTATATAAATAATGTATCTTAAGCCTATTTGGATATTGCCTTTACAGTCATGACTGTAAAGGCAATTAGGCTCCGGAAGGCTAATTGAAATTAATTGTATGCGTGCTCCTATGTCAGCCCTTTCTATTAATGTGGCCTACAGGATAGGATTATAGTCAAGACCTAAAGACATTACACCGGGATTGGAATCATGGCCCCACTGCTGTGTGACCTCACGGGTCACTCAATGCCCCAGAGCCTCAGTTTTTCTCATCTCTAGGGTGGAGATAATAACAGACCTGATGGGATTTTTATAATGATTAAATAAGGTAAAGCATATTTTATATGTCCTGGCTGATTGCTGGAACTTAAATATTTTTCTTGGTTTGTTTTTTGAATGTTATAAACAGTTTTGGTCTCTAGGGGTAGAGACTTAACATTTGTCTTTGGGTCAAACTTTTCCTTTATTTTGGGAGGACCTCTTGGGTCAGGACCCTAGTAACCAATCAGGTTGGGACACTGGTGAGCTCACAGGTGGACTATTGATAAAAGTCACTGTATTGTACCTTCAGGTGATTTCGAGGATGGTGGGTATGAGAACCAGGTGAGCAGAGCAAGAGGGAAAGGACGGATGGATGAGGTGTGGTGACAGTTACACTAGGAACTTTGAGGAAGAGCTGAGTGAGGCTTTGAACACTCTTCAATGGGTCCAGCAATTTAACCCGAGTAAGTCTGAGCCCATGTAATTTGCATAGAAAGACAGAATTTAGCAAATGCATACTGCATTGTCATGACAGAGGAGCATTTACTTAAGAGGTACAGTGGAAGTCTGCTTGGTCCCTATTTGGCAATGATGCAAGTTTACCAATCTGTAGAGCTAAGACATCAACAGAAACTGATAAATGCATCTACATTTCACCTTAAGTTTTACTAACTTAACCATATCACTGAGTTTGGTGCTGGTGACTGGTGACATGGCAATGACAGGTTCTCTTCTCAAGCAGAGACACTTAATCAAAGAGAGACAATAACAAATATGTCAATACAAACTGAGAATAAGTGCTCTGCAGAGGGATATGGTTCCATGAGATGCAATAACAGAGGAGTCTGACCCAGATGGAGGCAAGGAGGAAGGAAAATTTCCGAGGAACTGAAGGGAGTCCAGGGAGGCCCGGCAGGGGGATGGCAAGACAGCAGGAAAGCTGGGCCTGATCACGCACAAATTGGATTTTAGCCTAACGGTATGGGAAGCCACTGTGGAGGTTTAAAGGGGAGGGAAAGTCATGATCATGTTTGCATTTCAAGATTAGCTCTCTAGGGAGCAGACTGGTGAAGGCAAAAGTGGATGCAGAAACACCAGTCAGGAGACCCCCGAGAGGTGAGAACTGGGCTGGGTGGCAGCAGTTGTGACTTCCAGAGATATTCAAGGATGCATTCAAAGTACGGATACCTGGGCCTTCCTGGCTGAGTAACTTCCACCTCTCACAAAGGTCAGGACCCTAGTAACCAACCAGTGTTTGATAGTAACAGCACCTATGACAGAAGCAGGAGGCTCCACCAAACCCTTGCAGTTTTTGAGGCTGTTGATGAAACCTCAGGCTCTTCCCTGGAACACCACACTCTCCAGGTTGATCCCTGCCTCAGTTACCCGCCGCTCAGCATGGCTATACCTGTGCTTTTGTCCCACTTTCTGTCTGAGGATAACTGTAGGTCTAG